AATTGACAACTTAACCAGGTAGATAACTTGACCAAGAATTGACAACTTGACCAAGGATTGACAACTTGACCAGGTAGACAACTTGACCAAGTGTTGACAACTTAACAAGTAGACAACTTGACCAGGTAGACAACTTGACCAAGTGTTAACAACTTGACTAGTAGACAACTTGACCAGGTAGACAACTTGACCAAGTGTTGACAACTTGACTAGTAGACAACTTGACCAGGTAGACTTGACCAAGAATTGACAAATTGACCAAGAATTGACAACTTGACCAAGAATTGACAACTTGACCAGGTGTTGACAACTTAATGAGGTAGACAACTTGATCAAGAATTGACAACTATACCAGGTAGACAATTTGACCAGGTAGACAACTTGACCAAGAATTGACAACGACCAAGAATTGACAACTCGGTCAATGGGTTGAAGAAACCTTGACTAGACCAGGAAGTGACAACCACGACGAGCAAGCAACAAGTCCAGACACTATTTTTGCTCGCACTTCCTTTTATAAGGCAGACGAGAGCGTGTGAGCGACTCGCGTGAGTCACTCACGTTTGGCGGGAGCAGTCTCAGATAGCACTCGTGAGAGGGGAGGGGGGAGGGGGAATAAAACCTTCATTGTCATCCGACTGGTGGGAAAAAATTGTCTTAGGTTAATGATGGAGGCGCGGGTATGACGTCGTACGTCGTACGGTACGGTCGTAGAATGGAGGGCATAATATAGGGGGGGAGGGGGATACGGCTTTTATGAATGTTGAACAACTTGACATAATGCATACATAAGCATTCAGTTATGTCCTAGTTGACATGCAGCAAACAGCAGCATTTAATTAAGTCCTAAATGATTATATAAGACTGCTTAAGATATTGGTTTACTTAGGGCATATCAATCATACAAATCTGTTCTGCAAGTTGACATGGGGCATACAGGAACATACAGTTCTGCCCTACTAGTTGACATGGGGCATACAGGAACATAGAGTTCTGCCCAAGAAACTGACATGGAGCATACAGGAACATACAGTTCTGCCCAAGAAACTGACATGGGGCATACAGGAACATACAGTTCTGCACTAAAAACGGACATGGTGCATACAGGAACATATAGTTCTGCACTAAAAACGGACATGGTGCATACAGGAACATACAGTTCTGCACTAAAAACGGACATGGTGCATACAGGAACATACAGTTCTGCACTAAAAACTGACATGGGGCTTCCAGGTAAGCTCGGCGCACTAGAAAAGTGCCAACGAATGTTTCTAAATGTGTTAGATCGCCTGATAAAAATTAAACAATTAAGTTCTCAATTACTGAGTGAGCACCGTTTCCAAACATCATACACGTGATCTGTCACTAAAGCACGTGCATAAGGGTGGGGGTGGCTGTGGGTTTATCGACTCCACGGGCTGGTGGGCGCGGCTGTAGTCTATGAGGCTCCGCTGCCTGATTGAGTTGCCGCAAGCTTACTCGCCCTACTGGCTTTTGATGGCAACAAAAAAATTTCGTCTGAAATTTCTTCATCCGCAAATGTCTATTATCTAATGGCGGGATGGTGTTTTAGCTATGTCTGTGTGGTGTTTTGTGGTGTTTTTATATCGGAAAGGTGTCACGTGACACAAAAAACGTTAAGATGACAATAGCACACAGAGCAGATGGGCACGATGTACTGGATTATACGACTTACAGCAGACGGCAGAAGGCGCTACTCATTCCCTTGAGTGGTCGGGACTGTGGGGTTGGGATATGTTTTTTGGGGTGGGGGGTCGACATAGGGGGGTTGATTGAAGAATAAAAAATGAGTATAGACAGCGGCCACACCGTATGTGGTGGGTGGGTGGGACAATAGAGAATAATGTCAGACATTTAACATGATATCACGTGATGAGGGCGGCTCGCAGATGGTGGGCAGAAGTTTTTGGATCAATATGGATGGTAGCAGACAGCAGACGGACAGCAGATGGACGGACAGCAGGTAGACATTAGACAGACAGTAGACAGACAGCAGGCAGACAGTAGACAGACAGCAGATGGACGTACAGCAGGTAGACATTAGACAGACAGAGAGCAGGCAGACAGACAGATGACATAATGGCATTATATGGACAAATAACATGTCGTCAGAAGGAGATATGACACAATGTTGAATGCAAGAAGCTAAGTGACTGTCCCCCATATAAAGCAAGTTTGGCTTAGCTGAGTCATTCACCAATCTTTAAATATGACAAAACAACAAGAAAAATGCTGTTAGTGCTAGCCAAATGTTGAGTTTTTAAAAGACAGAGGTCATTAAGGATCCAGTCTGCGGGCCTTAAGACTGACCCCCACTATTCCAATCGGCCACTCTGGGCATTGAAATTCCAAAACAATTTAAGCGATCAACGCCAGATTCCTGATTTTATCGACCACATTCACATGGGCTCTGAGGGCTTTGAGTTAAAGATTAGCTTAAGTTCTAGGAGAGCTGATAAATTTAACCCGCGCATAATTCATCATTTGAAAACAAATCTTACAAAGAGACGGATAACCAGCTAAATAATACACACATCAACACTAAATGGAATCAAACATTTCCTGCAATAAAATATATTTTACAACTCTCCTACATTCCGCACACCCCCTGCCGGAAATCGTCCCACGTTCCTTAAGGTGTAGGGGTGGGGAGGATCAATATTTGAATGGAGCAAGTCTTTTCAAAGCGACCCGATCCTACCTGACGACAATGGGGCCACTAGCAGACCGGGTAGAGCCGGGGTTTTTCCAGACGTGACCTCTCTACTGTGATGTCACAGGCTCGACTTTGACGTCACACTGAGCTGCACACATGTCGCCCGTCACGACTTCAAACAGCAGACGACAGCCTGTAGATTGGGGCCACAGGTTTGGCCGTGTGGGCAGGAACTGGGATTGGATTTAGCGGAACAAATAAAATATTTTAACTTTCCCACTCATTTTTATTTTATTGAATTAAAAATAAACCGGTAGTGATCTCCCCTAAACTTTCTCGAATATTCTTATATAAAACAACAGGGGATGGTAACTGGGGATATAGTTATGATTTTTAATCCATTTTAAATACTGAAACTTTTAAAAATAGAATAGAATCTCAGTAAAAAACAACTGCGCACCAAGCGAACGCCTAAAAAAGGTGTGTATAATAGTGCGCAATAGTATTAGTACTTAATAAATTTACATTAGTTTTTTGAGAAATCGGAAGTAGCGTAAATTACTACTTCCGGTCAACGGAAATTACTCAAAATTTAACAGAAGGTAGAGAATTAGATCTTTTACTTACATGTAAAATTTCATTTATCTATCTGAAATAGTACTCAAGTTATAGGCTTTTGAAAAATTCAAAGTAGAAAAAGTACCACTTCCGGTTGTCGGAAATCGCTCAAAAGTTGATACGGATCTACGATTTTGATATAATACTTATATATGAAATTTCATCAACCTAGCTGTAACGGTACTCAAGTTATCGTGTTTACACACGGACAGACACACAGACACACACACACACAGACATACGGACAAGATTGCAAAATTATGTTTTTCCGTATCAGTGAGGTGTAAAACGTCGAGATTTGTAAAAATCTCGATTTTTTTTTTTTGCACGATTACAATACTTTCTCTATACTACGTATATACGAGAAAGTAAAAAAAGTTACGTGTAAGAATGAAAGCGTGGGGAGAATTTCATTCAGTCACCCCCCCCCCCCCTCCAGCCAACGAAGTAGAAAAATAAATATGTCTAAAAGAAACACTGAAGATAATGTTGCCTACAACTAAACTCACTCTTTATAATTGCATTTCTGTCAACGTTACAACGATTTTCTATTAACGTCTTTAGCATTTCTATCAACATAATTTTGTTAACATGTTTGCTGATTTCATTGATATGATACATTTTTGATCTTAATCGTGTAATCTGTTTTGGTAGTGTTAAAAGATAAATACGGTTGTTTTTAGTTTTCGATCACGGGGTTCAGAGGTTAAAGAGGTCAATATACTAACTGCTCTCGGCGCAGCTAAGGTCAGCGCAATAAATAGGTCATGACCTAATTCCAGCGATGACCTGCTCTGACCGTTATCAAAAATCAGGTTTTGAGACTTGTTTACAAAAATACAGTGATTAAAAATACTTGGCCAGTCCAGACGTTTTGCCAGTGCAGTAGTTTGGCCAGTCCAAAAATTTGGCCAGTTCAGAAGTTTGGCCAGTGCAGTAGTTCAGCCATTCCAGAAATTTGGCTGTTCAGAAGTTTGGCCATTCAAGAAAACTCGAATTGGCTTCATGACCAAGTACATTGAAACCAGAAGAACTCTACTTCCTCTATTATCAGGCTACAATCAAAGCATTTAGTAATTTTGGGTCATTAAAATTTAAGCGTATTTATAAAAGTTGTCTCCATAAACAGAATCTGCTAGATAATGTTGCTCAAATAAATGTTATTAAAGTTGTAATACATTTAAAAATGCAAGTTGTTTTACTTAAAGTAGAATGATGTTTGCAGGAAATAGATGAAATAAGATACCAACATATTGATACGTAGTTAGTGCAACCGCCTTACATTTACTTTTATTTATAGTTCAGAAACTTCGCGAATCTATTTCGCCTGGCTACGCCACCAAAATATTTTCATAGTAATTCATAATCCCATTTTTTAATACCCCCTTACTAAGGAATGTGTATCTATTTTTATCTAATTGTTTATGATTGCAATTGCTAGTAGCAACCGACCCATTGATTGTACGGTACGATATTGACGTCACTCCCACACCAGTTAACTGGGGCAGGAACGTTCTATGCAGACGATAGCAGGACCGGTGTTCTCGCTTCAAGATCTCAGGCCACACTGAAGGGAGGCGATCCAGCTCGCCGTTATATAGGGGTTTTATTTAGCCAGCCAATCAGCTCGCGTCGTTTATGTGTTACTAAATATAAAACGTATAAGATGAAGCGCGTTTGTTAGAATTTTTCTAAATGAGTAGTCCACTGAGCTAGACGCACAGAGCTATCCCACTAAATCGTGTACTGATGTGTATTTAATGCCACACAATTCTCTCACTTGCTCACAATGACCAAAGTTATTGAGCCTTCAATGGACTCTAGGCTGTCCACGAGTTTGCTTCCAAAATACGAGGATATTATGGAGTACCATAATGTGAGTACCTTAAATGATATTCTAATAAAATTTATATTCATAACTTAAGAATAATGCTGACAAACCTAAACAAAGAGTCACTGCATGTAAGTGTTTACATTTGAAATACCCATTGTTTATAGAAAGATGTCATTGATTACATAGGCAAAGTGTTTTATTTTATTAATTGGTACTTGCTGATAAGATAACTGAATATAGATCTAGATTTCTATATAATATATATTGCAAAAAAAGTATGCTAAACTTTTACATAAACAAAAAGACTCGCTATAAAAACAAACAGAATGAACGGGCTTCCCTGTGCAATATTGTCATGTTGACAAATTAAAATGTCCAGTTTGTTTTACAATGTCGAATTTACCTACATCATTATGGGACAATGTCTCTGTAGGTCAATAAACAAACGCTTTTTACAATGTAAACAACACATATAGAACTCTATACATACATGATAGCTATGCTCGATTGGTGAGTTGTTGTTTTTATAAATAAATTAATGGAAGAATATAATTGGCTTCATTAAAATATTGATATTAGGAGCTAGATGGAAACTTGCTAAATAAAGAGTATTAATAATTGCATACATTTTCAAGTAGATTTTTCGCAAGGAAGATACCAATATATTATAGATCTAGAAGTAAAGTTCGTATACTCTGGTTTGCTTTGCCTACATAGAAAACCACGAGTTGCGCACCCTGCGCTCGCTCAACCACCGAGCGTTTGGTCGCGTCACATCGCTGGCTGGCTGGCTGGCGGTGTTTGGGGAGTTTGACCCAGTTTATGGCAGACACTGTCTGCCAAGGGGAATAAATCTGTGTCAAAATGCAGATCTCATTTGTTGCTTTCCGCGACCAATTTTCTCTTATGGTGAAAAATTATTAAATGTTGATATACTAACTATAAACAAATCTTTTTCTTTGTGAATAACTATTGTATATGGTTGTTACTTTGATGCAACAAACGCAAAACAACTTTCGCTAATTTATGTTAGAAACATGCGATAAAGTAAATAATAAGGCAAATATAAAATTCAGAAGTTATTTATCTGCTGTGGGGGGATGGGAGGGGAGGGGGGGGGGCAGAAAGTTGGTACCTGACTCTGGTGTATTGATCATTATGAACCATGAGAGGATTGTCTCTGGTGTCGATGGAACTGAGACACGCGATGGTTTTGATTTATACCTGTACCGGCGTGCCTTTATATAAGAGCGCATTAGTCGGCCAAAGCCATTGGTAGATCTATGTTAGTGACTGTCTCTGCTAGTAGAGCCTCGTTCTCGTTTCTGCTTGTTAACATGGAGTTTTCTTACGTTGATTTCTTGATGGTATGGAATGTGTAACTAATGTTAATTAACGAATATGATGGTAAATTAATTTGTTTGTATTTTAAACTTTATTTTTGTTTCTTTTTGTTTAGAATTGGGCGGATGTTGACAACTTTTTATACCCTGACAACACGCCATACGAAACCAGCATCATCAACATCCTGGGCGACAACCTGAGGGGGTCACCTGGCTCCCCCATGGGCACGCCTGACTCACCTGTAGCCCCAGGCTCAGTCAGCAGCCACAGCGCCTACTCCAGCCCCTACAGCCCCCAACACGCCCCCATGTCAGTGGGCAGCCCCGGCTCCTCAAGTCAGGCAAGCAGCCTCAGCCCTGCACCACGTGACAGCATCTACGACGAGCTGCTGGACCTGGACTTTATCCTGAACAACACAGCCGAGAACAGCATGTACGAGGACGGCTCCCCCTGCGCTAAGATCAAGCAAGAGCCCAACCACTCTAGTGAGGGACTTCCCGATTTTTCTTCCACGTTTTTGGATATTCCCGAAATAAAGTTTGACGATGACATAAACAATAACATGATGATGGCTGGATGCAACATGATGTCCAACATCCTCTCAGGCAGCTCAAACATCAACTCATCCATCTCGCCCATGTCCAAACCCATGATGCAATCCCAGCACAACAACAACAACGCCATCCCAGAGTTCAAGATTCCAAAACACGAGTTCCCTCCCATGCCCCAGTCATGTACCTCCTACAGGGGTACTCTGACAGTCATTCCAGCCAACCAACTCCCTCCCCAGAACACCCACATGGTTTTCCCCATGCACGGGAACCACCTGTCTCCCCCCTCCTCCCCTGAGAACCAGGACACCGGCATGCACAAGATGAACCAGGTACCCCCCATGTTCCCCATGGGCCACCCCCACCAGCAGATGGTGATGAGACCCCAGCACATGATGCCCAAAATGCCCCCTCACCACCCATCCCACCTTGGCCCTCACCAAGTCCCTCATCAGATGATCACCCCTCCCTCCTCCCCTCAGCTGGACCACCTCCTCATGCCCTCCTCCCAGATGGACCCTGCCCAGCCAAAGAAGCGCGGTCGCCGCACCTGGGGCCGCAAGCGTCAGACTAACCACTCGTGCTCCCACCCCGGGTGTAACAAGACCTACACGAAGAGCTCGCACCTGAAGGCCCACCTGCGCACACACACCGGCGAGAAGCCTTACCACTGCACGTGGAAGGGATGCGGATGGAAGTTTGCCCGCTCAGACGAGCTGACCAGGCACTACAGGAAACACACCGGTGACCGGCCATTCCAGTGCCACCTGTGCGAGCGTGCTTTCTCCCGCAGTGACCACCTGTCTCTACACATGAAGAGACACATCTGAACTGACCTTTGAACTGTTGGAGTGCAAATGTGCCAGATCTCCTTCACGCTGAACCACCAGCATCCCAACTGAGACCCTCAGATGTATATTTAGCTTTACTTACAGTCGTTTGTGTAACAGATTGTTTCTGTGTTGAAATTTGGCTTTGATTTTGTTGGACTCCGCTTTAGTTTTCGACGCGGAGCTCCGGCAGTCAAGCGTAAGATGGCTCTAAGCTAGGCAGACTTGTTCTGTTGCCCTATGTACGCAGGCTTGTCTTCTCTACAGGTCCTGCTACTGGGGCGAAGTTTGTCTAGTTGCCTGACTTGTCACATGACGACTTTTGGGTCGAAAGGTTTCTTTGTATTCTTTGTACCATGGCTGACATGCCACATTGGCCACCACAGGGTGTATTTTGTTTTGTCAATTTTGGCCGGACCAATTTTCATTTTGCCATTAATTTATTTGTTCACTTGCCAGTTAGGCTGGTCCTAGCTGGCAGAAGTTAACTGCACAAATTGTGCCTGATCACGTGGTGCCAAACTCTTTGAATACAGCCTTCACCTTGCTGGGTCTCCAGACGATTGAGCTGGCCCAGCCGCGTTCAGGAGCTCAGCAGAGGTGAAAGGTCGCTCCCATTTTTTTTGTACATACGTTTTTCATTTGGTTAGCTCTTTTTAGTTTGCTTCTTACGCCTTTCAATGACCAGATTATCTCTCACATTGTTATGTTATTACCATTTTAACTATTTTTCAATGAAACAATTTGACATTGTTCACAAATATAAAATTACAATGTAGCCTCCTTAATTGGTACCTGCATTATACTGCATATTATCAGCCTCGAACTGTTAATTGAAATTTATTTGGCCAACTTTATAACAAAATTTGTAATGCATATCCATCAAAATCTGATACACTGATTTTTACTGCACATCTTATGCTAGACTACAATAATTTTACCAAATGTACTTGTTTTACAACATAAGGGCACTAAAATGCTAGTTTATATTTCATATTTAAAATTCAATACTATTGTATTCTTAGCCTGCTAGCGGCAGACGTCTGCCTCGTTTTAAATTGAGACCAACTGTGTTGGCGATGATGTAACTTGTAACTATTGTAACAACACTACACAAGTATTTCAAACAGTAACTATTTTAACTGTAGTTCCTAGACCACCTTATTGTTACTAACATGTTTCTTTACCAGTATTTTGTGTGTGTGGAACAAGCTTGACCAGGGGTCAGTCTTGACCTCGAACACGTTTTCTTCCTACTGTCCAATGGGCGTCTGTGTTTGTGTGACGTGTGCCAATTTTTTACTCACTGTAAAAAAAAAAACAACCAACGATTGTCGATCTATAACTGCTATAAGTGCCATTGATATGCATGCTAGATCAGCTGAGCTGTACTAGATGCATAAAGTTGCGGACGTGCAAGAAACGCATCACTTGTATACACTGCATGTGTCGTTTGGAATGCATGCCATATTTTTTGTGATGATTCGACTTGCCTTATTTGATTCTTGTCACGTGAATCAGGCACCTGTGTTTACCTTGATGAAACTTTATTAGTTTACCCCGGTACTGGCTACCATTTTTTTTTTAGTTCAATACTCAAACTAGATAGGTAGCTATCGTTTTAAAACCCTAAAATATAACGCGCAGCAGTGCTGCTAAATCTGGTCCTATTCATTTTATTTTAAATGTGTTTTTTTTTTGTTGAAAAAAATCTGGTCTATTTTTTTTTCAAAAAAAAATTAATAAATGTGATTATTGAAACTTGTTAATGAAAGTGATACAAATTAAGTTGCTTCGCTGGTATTCGTTCACATTTTCCTAAGTAAATAATAAACGAAGTCTTCCAATATTGAACGGGTTGTAAGCACTGTCTTCAAAGTTATACCCAATTATCTTCCTATTGATAATCTAAAATAAATTAATTTACATAATTTCCAAAGATTCGCGACTATGGTTGCCTTTACAGATCCCAAACAATGTCCTCAAGTTTTTATTAATTCAAACTTATAAAATATCTCTAGTTTTTTTGTTGTTTTTTTTTTTAAAAGATTTACAATTTTTAAAATTAAAATGTCCAATTAGACCCAGCCAACGATGAAAAAGTAATTTGTTACTGTTTATGAACCTTTATTATAATAACTTGTTAGTTATCTTCTCTTGTTATTTGTTCATTATCTCTCAACGGTGCTGTATAACAGGAAAAATATTGTTCATTATTTTGTTACATCTGAACGATGGTCACATATTGCCAATTTTTAAAATTTTGTTTCATTTACTGATGTAGCCATGTTTTTAACTGATTTTGCTAGTCATTCATTCTGGTGCCATAAGTCTTCAGCATAAAACAGCGGCGCGGGCGCTTTCTTTACTTGCTTTTATCGATGCTATTATATGAGAATAAAATGATGAATAGAACATTTTGGTCTTGACTTGATCTATGAATTGTCTTGGTTGCATGGTTCTATTGTTTACAGTCTGTATGAATGTATTTTATAACATGATAAAGGCCAACCACTTAATTTGAATAACGAACGGTTATATTGCCGTGGTTGTAAGACCATCACATTAATAGAATAGACAGAGTAAAGTCTGTCTTCTGCTACAACAAACAGAAGTTTATCTTTAGAAAGAAATAACCAGCAATATCTGACTACTGCGAAGATATTTTGTGCAAACTGTCGCAGTTTTTAAAAGTTCCTTTTTCGAATCTGACGGTTCATGGGGCAAGTGAAGTAGAGTTCTCCTGTTTCTGTGACCTTAGCAAACGTCGCAGTTTTATAGTTTTAACCTTCAAGAAAGATTACTTCAGCCTGTAACGAATCAAGATAAAACTGCACGTACTAAAATTCTGTCATCTATTTTATACAAGATAAACAGCCCATACAAGCCCAATGTGCCCTCTATCATAGACTTCAGTGCAATATTTGATCAGGTGCAGGCTGGTTAAAGCTTAAGGAAATTCCCGAACTACGCCGCGTACATTTCTCAAGGAAGTACAGACAAGCGAGAAAATGTTCTCCGCTTGCGCACCAAGCAAACACGCGGCATGAATGAGATACACTTCAAGTTTGAACACATCGTCGACACTCGGCTGGTTTTCTAAAGAAATGGCTGAATCACGCAGGAAGTCGACGTGATATTGAATACCGTATTGAGCCATACAAAACGAAAGTGGAGAAGTGAATAGTGAAAGTATTCATCTTTTGAAGGCAGGGAGGTTATATTTCCTGCGGATTTGATACAGCTATAGTTGTGAGGCCTTTGGTGACGTTTTTACAACGTGTCACCGTGACGTCAAATAATAAAGTAACGCTTCAGGATCAAATGATATTTTTTTGGCAGATGTGTAACATGGCCAACACGTTGGAGTGAGGTGGAGGTGGAGCAACAAATGTAAATGTTATATATAACATGGAATTACAACTTATAATATGCCTCCATACACTATATAAGCTGGCGCATATACCATGACCCATACTACATAAAACATGGCCCATTCAAAATATAACATGGAACATACAACGTATAACATGATCCATACAAAATATAAAATGACCCATATTACATTTAACGGGTCATACGATTTTAACATACAACATATAACAAGGCCCATACAACATATAACATGGCCCATACAATACACATGACCTATAAAGCATTTAACACGGCCCATGTAACATAAAATAGCCCATACAACACGTAACTATACAAAATATAACGTAGTCCATATAACATATAACATGGCCCATATAATAAATGACATAGCCCATACACAATATAAAATGGCCCATACAACATATAATATTTCCCATATAACATGGCCCCATGGCCCATATAACAAATAACATGGCCCATACAACATATAACATGGCCCATACAACATATAACATGGCCAATACAACATGGCCGCACGGCCCATACAACATATACCATGGCCCATACAACACATAACATGGCCCAATTAACATACATAGCCCATACATCATACATGGCCCATACAACATATAACATGGCCCATATAACATGGCCCATATAACATATACCATGGCCAATATAACATACATGGCCCATATAACATATAACATGGCCCATACAACATATAACATGGCCCATATAACATATAACATGGCCCATACAACATATACTATGGCCCATATAACATATACCAAGGTCCATACAACATATACTATGGCCCATACAACATATAACATGGCCCATATAACATATAACATGGCCCATATAACATATAACATGGCCCATATAACATATAACATGGCCCATACAACATATAACATGGCTCATACAACATATACCATGGCCCATACAACATATAACATGGCCCATATAACATACATGGCCCATATAACATATAACATGGCCCATACAACATATAACATGGCTCATATAACATACATGGCCCATACAACATATAACATGGCCCATACAACATATAACATGGCCCATACAACATATAACATGGCCCATACAACATATAAAACGGCCCATATAACATAAGATGGCCCATGCAACATATAACATGGCCCATACAACATATAAAATGGCCCATATAACATACATGGCCCATATAACATGGCCCATATAACATAACATGGCCCATACAAAATATAACATGGCCCATACAACATATAACATGGCCCATATAACATATAACATGGCCCCATGGCCCATACAACATATAACATGGCCCATACAACATATAACATGGCCCATATAACATATAACATGGCCCATACAACATATACCATGGCCCACACAACATATAACATGGCCCATACAACATATAACATGGCCCATATAACATCAGCTAATCCTGTCTGAGCAGAGTATTGCGCTGCACGAAAGATCTGATCACATGACCGCACAAGGTCACCACCGGCTCAAACTCCAGTTACCCGGATTAAGGTTATTTATAACATCCTCCATATCTTCCCGTCATGCTCTCTCTCTCTTACATAAAAAATATACAACATCATTGTGGTGTTGTTGTGCCTAAATTCAACTCTCTCTTACATAAAAAATATACAACATCATTGTGGTGTTGTTGTGCCTAAATTCAACTCTCTCTTACATAAAAAATATACAACATCATTGTGGTGTTGTTGTGCCTAAATTCAACTCTCTCTTACATAAAAAATATACAACATCATTGTGGTGTTGTTGTGCCTAAATTCAACTCTCTCTTACATAAAAAATATACAACATCATTGTGGTGTTGTTGTGCCTAAATTCAACTCTCTCTCTTACATAAAAAATATACAACATCATTGTGGTGTTGTTGTGCCTAAATTCAACTCTCTCTTACATAAAAAATATACAACATCATTGTGGTGTTGTTGTGCCTAAATTCAAGACAAGTTCAAAGCATCCCAAACTCTCTCTCTCTCTTACATAAAAATATACAACATCATTGTGGTGTCATCGTGCCTAAATTCAAGACAAGTTCAAAGCATCCCAAACTCTCTCTCTCTCTTACATAAAAATATACAACATCATTGTGGTGTCATCGTGCCTAAATTCAAGACAAGTTCAAAGCATCCCAAACTCTCTCTCTCTTACATAAAAAATATACAACATCATTGTGGTGTTGTTGTGCCTAAATTCAAGACAAGTTCAAAGCATCCCAAACTCTCTCTCTCCCTCTTACATAAAAAATATACAACATCATTGTGGTGTTATTGTGCCTAAATTCAAGACAAGTTCAAAGCATCCCAAACTCTCTCTCTCTCTTACATAAAAATATACAACATCATTGTGGTGTCATCGTGCCTAAATTCAAGACAAGTTCGAAGCATCCCAAACTCTCTCTCTCTCTTACATAAAAATATACAACATCATTGTGGTGTCATCGTGCCTAAATTCAAGACAAGTTCAAAGCATCCCAAACTCTCTCTCTCTCTCTTACATAAAAATATACAACATCATTGTTGTGTCGTTGTGCCTAAATTCAGGACAAGTTCAAAGCATCCCAAACTCTCTCTCTCTCTTACATAAAAAATATACAACATCATTGTGGTGTCATCGTGCCTAAATTCAAGACAAGTTCAAAGCATCCCAAACTCTCTCTCTCTCTTACATAAAAAATATACAACATCATTGTTGTGTCGTTGTGCCTAAATTCAAGACAAGTTCAAAGCATCCCAAACTCTCTCTCTCTCTTACATAAAAAATATACAACATCATTGTTGTGTCGTTGTGCCTAAATTCAGGACAAGTTCAAAGCATCCCAAACTCTCTCTCTCTCTTACATAAAAAATATACAACATCATTGTGGTGTCGTTGTGCCTAAATTCAAGACAAGTTCAAAGCATCCCAAACTTTGTGTGTGTGTGTGCGTGCGTGTGTGTGTGTGTGTGTGTGTGCGTGTACATGAGTGCGAGTAATTTGTCTTTGACAGTAGATTTCACACGTGTCCAATGTTTGTTTTCCCAGATTTTTTAAAAAACAATTTGAAACCATTTAAAACAAGATATTACAAGCACGAAAACAGAAGAACATATAACATATACTTTGTGCTTTAGATATAGTAGTAAAACTTTAGTTGCTCAAATATCCGTACCTCATTTAGGCGACCAGCACTCCGTCAACTGCAATTTGTATCATAAATATTTTTTTCTGTCAATCGCTCTTAGTTAAGTGCACATCCCAGGTTACTTAAAATAATTACTCTAAGACGTGAATCAGCTGGTCATTGTATCAACTCTAAACGACAAATATCTGACTAAAATTAGCGCCCGTTTGAGCTCAACGATTTGTAAACATGATTTGTGAACACCAGCTCACCGTCTGACCGTGTGATCGATATTAACGTGTTATCTCACCGTTTGTTTTCAAAAATAATCTTAAATTAACTTTTTTGTATATTATGACTGATGTATAGGTATGTTTAACTTGGTTATCGAATATTATTGCGATGGCTTTAAACATTTTTTTTTGTCTTCTATGTTTAAAAGAAATGGCTCTTTAAGAAAAGGGTCAAATTGAGTCAGCATAAATTTACCATAGAGACAATCACATGGACATACATTCTGACCTAACAAAGTGCAGCGTTAATAAACCGGGAGTGATCTCCCCTAAACTTTCTCGAATATTCTTATATAAAATAACAGGGGATGGGAACTCGGGCTATAGACATGATTTTTAATCCATTTTAAATACGTTAAGTTTTAAAAATAGAATAAAATCTCGTAGACACCAAGTGAACGCCAAATAAAAAAGCGCATAATGGTGCGCAATATTATTAGTACTTTTAAAATTTACATTAGTTTTTTGAGAAATCGGAAGTAGCGTAAATTACTACTTCCAGTCAACGGAAATTACTCAAAATTTAACAGAAGGTAGAGAATTAGATCTTTTACTTACATGTGAAATTTCATTTATCTATCTGAAATAGTACTCA